CGACCTTGTGGGGCCCCTACCTTAGAGATCAGGACAAAGGATATTTTTATAGTAGCAGTTGATTACTTTACGAAGAGGGGCCCCTAGATCAGGGATCATCCTTGTCAAGTACAAAGACATTTTTCCAATGGGAAAATTACATACATAGACCCCCTTGTAGAGAGATTTACATATATACAAATTGTGTAAATAATTATCAAAATAGAATAAGGATGTGATTTCTATTTCATATCTATGAGATTACAATCTCTATCACCTGATCCATTTATCTCTTTCCATATATTGTTCATGGAATCAAGACCCCGAATTCAACACATATAAAACGAAAATTCCAAAAAAAAAAGAAATAATACATGCAGGATTCACAGTTCAACGAGCTCGCAGTCCGAGAAAAAAAAAAGAAAAAAAATCCCGATGTCAATGGCTCTGATGTCAATACGAAGCCTCTAGCCGACGAAGACAACCCATCGAAGCAGATGCCGACATCCTTCTGGAGGCGTCGTAGTATCGAAGGGTGATTTTGTTGTTTCCACGACGGCGTTGCTGCTGTCACTGATATCCAAGAGAAGATAAAAGCGCGGAGCGGTTTGGCATGCTGGTGCAGATGATGGAGGAGGAAAAGCATGGTTCTCGATTTGTGTATTATGTTTTATCCCATTTCAGACTTGTTAATATGTTTTTTTTTTATCTTATGTATAACATTACGGTTAATATTAGAGAACTTCCAGATTGTATTTATCTGATGTATATATACAGTATATCTGAACATATTTTTGAGGTTATTAGGCAATATATGTACGGTATATCTGAATTTTTTAATCGAATGAGATTTCACGAAGAACAATGTTATCTGAAATGAAAATTATTTTGTTGAGAGATGAAGTTTGCTACACTAAAGTAGGTGTTCCATGTAAAATTTTACATAAAATATACGTTAGTTAAACATGTAAACAGCAGTCGAGTGTGGTGTGAGAGAAACACATAATTTTTTTATTGTTAATACCG